AATTGGTAACACCACTGCAGCAGTACTTAATTCAGAAAGCCTTAATGTCTGCTTTTCAAAATCAAATCAATGAAAAAGGAAAAACAAAATATTGGAGATGGGGATTGCAAAATCAATCAATAATCTTGGCAATTCACCATTTAGTAGGGCCATTAATGAGAAAGAGCATCCAACTTAAAAACAAATAAAATTGACAATAGCTGAGAAGGCTTATATTATTGTCGTGTCATTGAAAATTGTCCACATAAGGTCCATATCAGTGGAGTCGAGCCACACGTGAATGTAACAGATGGAACTTAACGGGCACGTTACTTCAGGGTTAACTTTAGGAGTTTTAACAGGTTTCAAATACTAGAAAATGTTAATTAAAAGTAAAAATTAAAAGGTGTTGATCGCTTGAGAAAAAATAAAGTAAAAGGTGTTATAAATAGCTACAAATTATAATGTATGATTGATGTGAATGTAGAATAACTCTTAACAAGAACTTAAAAAAAGAGGAAATTTTGCAAGAAACCTAAAAATATTTGAATATTCTCTTTATCAAAAGTCTAAACTATATATTAAAATATTATGAAATGATAAAGTAAAAGCCTCTGGAGGCTTTTAATATATTCATTAAGATAAAATTAAACATCTCTAATATAACACAATAGAAGAGATTATATTTTTTTGTATGAATCATCCGGTGTCCGAAAACCCATTGGGTCACCGACTAATCCGGATTCGAGTCGGGTAGGACTCAACGGGTGGCAAAACTCTCCTTCATAAGTTTTAACGGAACTGCATTCTTAAGACTTGAACTCAAGATCTCTGGTTAAATTAGAAGAGTTCCAGCCAACTCATCCACCCGTTCATGGGTATAATAGAAGAGATTATACACATAGGTAAAAGTGTTTTTTCAACTGTCCGGAAACCCATTGGGTCACCGACTAATCCGGATTCGAGTCAAGTATGACTTAACGGGTGGCAAAACTCTCCCTCATAAGTTTTAACGGAACTGTATTCTTAAAACTTGAACTCAAGATCTCTGGTTAAATTGGAAGAGTTTCAGCCAACTCATCCACCCGCTCATGGGTATAATAGAAGAGATTATACACATAGGTAAAAGTGTTTTTTCAAGTCGTCATCTTAAATTTTTTTGAAGGATGGTCTAAAAATTTATTTTTTAATTAATATTTTTAAAAATCAATAGTTGGATTTAAAGTTATATTCACATAAATTATGCATGTAAATTTTCATGTTGATTTAGTAGGTCTAATCACATTCTTAATTACAAGAAATTTAATATCGTTAAATATATATAAATAAATAAAATTGTTTTGTTCAAAGAGTTATAAGTATTAGATTAATATAAAAATTAATATATATGATTTACATAAATAAAACTTTTAAATTAACTATCGATTTTTTAAAATATTGATTAAAAAGTAGATTTTTAGGCAGATTCTCTAAAAAAATGATAGAACTGCTATACACTATTCATATATTTATAGGGGTAAAAATGATATATGATAATAAATAGAGATATAATGAATGACTAAAAAACAATAATATTAAGGGAATAAGCATAATGAGAAAAATTAATAAAAAAAAAAAAAAGATGTATAATGATCAATGGAGGTGCGGGAAGAAAACGAATATTATAGTAGGAGGATGATGAGAAAAAGAATAATGATAAACAAATTTATTAATATAGAAAGTGGGAAAGTGAGGCATATATAGGTGGAAGGTAATGTTATTGTCTTTCCCTTAATTGTTGATGCTACATCTTTTTACAGTAATTAATTATTATATTTTTTAATTTATTAAAAAATATAAAAATATAAATTTTTAAGAAAAAAAATATAATATAAGAGTATAATAGATAATTACATTAAAAAAATGTGATTTTAATTACTTAGGATGTGGTAATAACTCATTTATAAGTAGGTAAATAAATATAATAACAAACCATGTGTACGTAAGTTAGGATATGTTGTCGTGAGAAAAATTAATAAAAGGTAAAGTATAGGTAAATAAAAAAGTATAATACTAATGAGTTAGTTTTTTTATATTTTAATTTAAAATAATACAGGCATTCAAAAGGGAGAAGACAAATTGGAATAAAAAAAAGATATATAATAGTAATTGTTATACATATAAAAATAAAAGAAACTAATAAAATTTAATGAACTATTCTAGCCTTCTAAATCTTAAATCCTTAATTAACACCCAGAAAAAAAAAAAAATTTCACATATCCTTTCTCCAGTAAGACAATCAATCAGAACTTCATTCAGGTGGCCTTCAAAATCATTAAATTGTAAGGGACGTGCACGCGCACCTCGGAATTGAATACCAAAGCTTCTTGCGCCACCACCTTAACTCTAATAAACTTAGGGTCCGTTTGATTGCCAAAAAAATATTCTCCGGAAATGTTATTGCATTTTCTTATGTTTGGTGCACATAGGAAAATATGGTCAACAAAAAATATTTAGAGTCAACAGAAAACTTTGGAAAATCTTGGAAAACAACTTCCGGAACAGTTGTTTTCCCTAAAAACACACGGGTCTATACCCGACCCGACTTTCCATCTCGACCGATCTCAACCTCGTGCACACTGTTTCTCCTTCCCGTTTGTTGCCTCCTACCAAATGCTTCAATAAACTTTTCTCCTTGCCACCCACCACCGTCACACACTAACCATTCCATTTCGCACGAATTGGACCCGAAATCCCGGTCATTAAAACTGTCACTGCAATTAAATCTCCATACCATGACCCCAATCACTGTTGAATAAAAGGGGTCAAATAATGGAACACTCTCTCAGGAATTTCAACAAACAGTTGGTGAGTGTAGTGAACAATGAAGAAAAATTAAGCAATCTGAAAGTAAAGATCACAAGATTCTCTATAGATCTCAAGTAATAATGGAATAGGAAGAAATATATTTCAGATAATAATAGTTATCAATCAAATGGCCCGTAAAATAGTCAAGGTGCCAACCAACAAAGCTACAAAATAGCAACCACTATGCTGAAAACTAAAACACGTTAAACTACTTCCTAATAACTAGGCAATACAAAGACACGTGCAAGGAAATGGCTAAATACCAGGAAAAATCTAAAGACTTATCCAACAATCACAAGATCAGGCACAGAAACTCAGACGATCTTGAGACTTAGAGATTATTTGATATAACGGTTTAAAACTAATAATTAATGATTTTATGAATAAAATTTTTTACATTATTAATAATAATAAATATTAGACATCAAATTATACGAATTATTAGTTATTAGTATTAAATTGTTATACCAAGTAATCTCTAGAAACTCAGGCAACCACAAAAAATAGAGTTCCCCTCTCAAATCGCAGAACCTAGAAATTCAAGCGATCTTGGGAAGTGTTTGAAGCTTTGGTGCCTCTGAGGAGGACAACTTTGCCAAAACCCATGAAATACAAGGTCCTAAACATGCTAGGTAGAACAAGAAACCCATTAAAATTGATTGAAATTTATTTTTATCATGTACAATATAATTCTTGTTGCTGTCTTGAGTGCATAAGTTTAGTTTTTGGATTTTGAGACAATGAGTTTTGGAAGATTAGAGTCTCCTTTGACAATCCACACCAGCTGTTCAATCTTTTGTCAGAGAGGGGTTGTGCTGGTAATCTGGTTGTGGCGTAATAAGGTGACTTTCTAGGATGAATAGGTGGATGTGATAAAAGTGTCTTACTACTGATCTTGAAACTCATATGTTGCAAACAAGGAATAGGTAGGGATGGTAGCAGGCTAAGATTTCAACAGCATGGCTAGGGGAAGTAGGAAATTAAAATGAACAAGTGGAGCAAAAGATAAAAATGGGAGAAATGTACAGGATTGATAAGGGCTACCAGAATTGATTTAAATTTTAGAGTTTTTTAATTGCTTACCAAACAAAAAAAATTATTTTCCTTTAATTTTTTTTTTCAAATTGTTCCGAACATTAAAAAATAATCTAGAAAATATTTTCCCACTACATATTATTTTCCGCGAACCAATGGACCTTACGAAACTCTTGTATTCATAATGACTTATATGGTTTTTTGATTAACATTCACCTCTATGTTTAAGGAACACAAAAGGAAAAAAAAAAAAAAGGGGAATGGCTTAGTGCCAAGGGACAACATGACTTCCCATTAAAGTAAATCATCTAATTGCTAAAAATCATAGGAGTTAAATTATCAGGAAAAAAAAAAAAAACAGTACCTCACTTAATTTGAACGCTCATGCACTGAAATGATTCTATAAGGTTGGTAAAAAAGAAGCTTTAAGAGTCTAATCAGAAGAGTTTCAGCTATAAAATTTGTCACATATAATTTGATTCGCAAGGACTGATCAAACTGAAATCTCTTCATGTATCAGGGTATTGGTCACTAAAGTTAGACAAGTTTTGGGAAGATAAGTAAAACAAGCTAAAGAAGATGGTGCTCTTCAATGATGAAATCGTCCAGATACTATGGGATACATGGAACATCAGAGGACTAATTATTCTAAGCCTCGTGCTGCAGTGTTTCTTAATTCTAGTTGCAACATTTAGGAAACAAATGGGGGGAAATTCTGTTTTTAAGAGTTCGCTATGGGTGGCATATTTGCTTGCAGATTGGGCTGCTACAGTTACTATTGGACTCATCTTCGACGATCGGAGTTATGACATCACGGTCCTATGGGCACCCTTTCTTTTGTTACATCTTGGTGGACCGGACACCATTACTTCCTTCTCGCTGGAGGATAATGAGTTCTGGATCAGGCACTTGCTTGGGCTCATGGTGCAGATTTGTTCCACTGTCTTTGTTATCCTTCAGCCAATCAGAGATAACAAGCTTTTGCTCCCAACTCTCCTGGTGTTCATTGTAGGACTAATCAAATATGCAGAGCGGAACAGTGCTTTTTATCATGCAAGCTTTGACCATTATGGAGATAAGATTCCAAATGTTTCCTTTCTAGAAAAAACTGCAGCTACTGAATCTGAGACCGAGAGCCACTATCCTGGAATCATGTTACGAAGGGAATTGGGACCTTATGGCACTATCAAGAATCTACTTGTTGGGCCTCTTCTATCTCCACATCGGCGCAACTTGAGCAGAAGAGCCTTTCTTAAAAGACAGTCAGCTGATCAGTCAAGAAAAGTCCTCAATATAATGGAGATTGAGCTAAGCCTCTTGTATGAAACTCTTTACACCAAGTTGCCCGTGGTTCATTGTAAGATTGGATATGTTCTCCGGATCATTAGTTTGGTTTGCTCTTTCGGAGCCTTGATGTCATTCATGTCAATTACAAAGTACTACAAGTTGAGGAAATTCGATGTCTGGCTAACCTATAGTTTGTTGATTTCGGCCATAGCTTTGGAGTTCATATCAATCGGACTGCTTTTTTCTTCAGATTTTAATTTACTGGATCACTACTATTGGCAAGGTAATCGGGAGATCAAATTTCTGTACTGGAAAGTGGAGTTTGATCATATGAGTACTGGATTCAAGAACCGATGTAGGTGGTCCAAAAAAATCTGCCAGAACAACCTTATAGCCAATCATTTTAGTGATTGTCCACGTTGGTTGGTCAAATTGGCTAATTTTCTTTCCATCAGGATTAGTAATTTGAAGGATCGAACTTTAGAAGATCAAGAATGGGACTTCATTTTTGATGAATTGACAAGGAAGGCTCAAACAGCGGAGACGGTAGAAGAGGGCAAACGACTTTGTCTACAAAGAGGTGATGGAATTCTTGATGATGATGGGATGAGACATCTCATCTGGAGCATCAAGGAGTTAGATTACACAGAAAGCCTTCTAACATGGCACATAGCCACTGAAATCTGCTTCCAAGTAGACCAGAATACTGCATCTGGCAATACGAAATATAAAGCAATATCTAAATTACTCTCTGATTATATGTTCTACCTTCTAGCGTGGCAGCCCGCTATGATGGCCACCGTGTCCATTGATCGGAAAGAGGTGTGCAAACTAGCATATCACGATTTAAATGATTTCTTCACTGAACGGTCCGATTTGGATTTGCAAAGTCTCGCAAAAAGAGTGTTTAGCAACGAAGCCCCAAGGAACTACGTCTTGAAAGTTACTGGTTATGAAAGAACATCCGTCATACGTGGTGCACGTATGCTTGCCCATCAGCTGAGGGATGAGAACAGCGGCTTTCCGTGGGAGTTAATGAGCAAAGTTTGGGTTGAATTGATGTGCTATGCTGCTATTAATTGTGGGTCACATGTGCATGCACAGCAAACAAGTAAAGGTGGACAGCTCCTCACTTTCGTTTGGTTGTTGATGAATCATTTGGGCCTGGGAACTCAATTTTCAACTGAACAACATTCACAGGCGAGAGGGACTGAACTCGGGCAAGACCAGCCATAACAGAAGGATTGAATCTTCTGAAGATAGATTAATTCAGGTGTGCCTTATCTATTCGCCTTTCTTAAATGTGCACTTATTAACGCCTCTTATGTTTTAAAAACATGTGTATCTTATTACGGTTTTTATGTGTGTTTTGTGTGTTCGTGAGTTCCAAAATTTAGTTTCTGTAATAGTGTGTGTTTTGAGTACTGCTTGGATCCACTTAATAATATTTTTTTTTGCATATCAAAAAATGGACATGTGTATCTTTGATTTGGTGTTTAATATTTGAAGGAAATCTTATCATGTAATTCTTATTTCAAGGAGCCATGTTTTGTGCTTAATGGTAGCGGTAGAAAATTTCGCGAAGGAAAGAAATTAAAAAAAAAAGAAAAAGAACCTGACTGAAATTATAATTGATAGGTTGAATTTGACCGAGTTTTAAATTTTTTTAACTTGAGTTTGATTATAATAACCAAATGAGGTGAGTTTTGGTAATTGAGGTCCAAAACCAAAGACTCGGTACTACGCCGAGTGTAATCAAAAAAAATTTTTTTTACTTCCTTTTTAAATTTAATGATTTTTAGGTCTTCCAACTCATTCTCAAATTTTTGTGCCTTTGTTTAATATTATTTTTTAAATTTAATGCTTTATGAAAATTTTTAAGCCTTCCCCTCCTATTCCCGCCCGAGTCCACTCCAAATATTAGCTAAATTTAAATTTTTATGTTTGATCCGAAATAACAAAAAAATTAGGTTAAATGCTCGTTTTGGTCCCTCAACTTTAGTGGTTTGCACATTTTTGGTCCCTTGAGAATTTTTTGCACTTTTTTGATCCCTCAACTATACGAAATGCACTCCGTTAGTCCTTCTGTTAATTTGGACCGTTAACTC